ATGGGGTGGAGCGGGTACATTGTCATGAGGCGCTCGACCTAGTCAATTTGCTTGAGGTTCAAGAGGGACCTCATCCATTTGATCATCCTCAACGTCCATATCCCCCAAAGTTATGTTTCCGAGCTTATTGTTTGACATGATTGCACCTACAACTTTTCAACACGTTAGTAACAAGGAAGGAAAAGAAGATATTTCAAAAACACACCTAAATATATATTTAACACCATTTTTTTAACTCCCCGGCAACGATGCCAAAAATTGATCTCGTCCAATTTCACACCACAATTCAAGGTTATGGAATGGTCGATTACAATAATAGTACCCAACAAGAGTCGGAGTCGATTTCCACAGGGAGTTATATATGGAAGTTAGGCGTATATATTGTAGTATGTGAGTTTGAACGACCTCAATTTACACTTTCATAAATTGGGGTTGATTCTATATCTAATTTAAGCTAAGATTGCAAAGTTAAGAAATGAAACTAAGAAATTATTTTTGTTGTTTTACAAGTTTTGTAAAAAGCATATGGCTATGACCATCATCTAGGTGTTTGCCGTATGAGATATAGACCTTAATGCTTATTTTGTTGATCGAGGTGTATTATAGCTATCAACTCTCAATTACCCACTCAATACCTTTCGGTCAGAAAATGATTTTGCCCAATTTGACTTTCTAAAGTCCAAATGGGTATTGCACAAAACGGTTGATAAAAGCTCAAGTCGGGTTATTACTATCTCTAGGTTGGACCGTTTAATTGGGATTATCAATCTCTCGATTGACCCAATTTTTTGTTAGCCAAGCTGTCCTAGACTAAATCTCTCTTTTTCAAGTAGAGACTAAGCCAAAAAGGCATGAACTAATATTTACAACCATTAATTTCACAAATTAAAGCATGAACAATGTTAAATAATAAACACCCAACCATAAACAAGCATTAAGTTAAATACCCATAAAGTTTTCACACTAGGGTTGGATCACAACCCTAGTAAAAATCTAGCTACTCATGCTTGAGATTGAAGAAATAGAAGAAGAAATGATAAATAAACTCATATTGTGAAATCAAAATGATAAAATCTATGTTAAAATATCCCAAAATATGAAAAACTACTAAAAGAAGTAAAGAGAAACGCCTATTGTAGCTACTGATGTCAAAAGTTGACCTAATTTCGTGAAACTCTTCTATTTATATAAAGCTGATAATTTCGGACAAAAATACCCCTCGGGAGGTTCTGTGGCCGCACAATTTCATGTGCGGTCCGCATATTTCTTCAACTTATCAGGACTTGGAGGTCTGCGGCCGCATAATTCTGATATGCGGCCGCGAAGCAATCTTTCTGCAGTCCGCAGATTTGTAACTGCGGTTGCAACTTGGTTCTGCGGTCCGCACTTTTACTTCTGCGGCCGCACAATTCTTGTGCGGTCCGCACTTCTAAGGGACTTGAAACTTGAGAATTTGCACATTCTCTGAACTTTGTTCCTAGCCCAGGTTTTGCGGTTGCACAATTCATGTGCGGTCCGCACTTTGTGAGCTTATGGCAGTGCCTTTTATTGCCTTTGGTGTAGATTACTCCTTTTTGAGTTGGATTTCATATCGGGAGTCCATCTTCCAATATTCCTGCAGTTTAGCACATTTCATCAGTTTCGGAAACACAATTCAATACTTTTAGACTAAAACAAAAGTCAAAATGTGCTAATAAGTAGTTAAAATCCCCACTTATCATAGACAATGATAATTTTCAATTTCTTTGCTGACAAGGTTAAGCATTGAGACAATCCACGCGCAATTTTGCAGGCATGACGTGGTTGCCTTCTACTTGTCTGATAAAAATGCAGACTTGAGCTTTAAAATTCTGGTAACCGAACCCGAGTCCTCTTGTTCTTGGAAATCTATTTATGTTTGGTTGAAATTTTAGCCCAAGCTTCATGCCAAAAGAATGAGATGTTAGAGAAGATGGGTGCCTTTTCTTCTTCAGTAAGGACATGATTTCAAAACCAAAATACTTCGCTCTCTCATTGGATGTGGTTGACAGATATATGGATAGAATTGTTTTTGATTTCATGTAAACCCAAAATCAATCTATGGATTTATATACAATCGTTTCTGTTATAACGGGTAAGGAGTAAGAAAAAAATATAGAAGAAATTAAAGGTAAAGGAAATGAAAAAGAAAAGAGAAAAAGTAGAGAAGATATTCATGGAAGTTGAGTCCACTCGTTTAAGTTTTGTTTTTTAAAGAACTAAATTAGGTCAGAGTTATGGGTAGAGGGGAAATAAATCGGGTAAAAAAGGGGATGTGTCTCTTTAATTTTGAGGTGCCACGTGGCAGTCCATCCAATTGAGAGGTATATTTGAATAATAGTATAACAGTATGAGATAAAATAATCAAATAGTATAATGTAGGGTATTTTTAAATCTTTTTCAATAGTACATGAATATATTTGACCATTTCCGTTTATCATTTAGTATATGTGTTGTTGGGTCATGCTCGTTCATAAAAATAGTGACTCGGTCGGTTTCGGTTCCGATCCTGGGCTGGACCCAAGCTTGTCATACCGGATTGTTAAGAGACCAATATATTTATAGTACAATTTAATTTATAAACTTGTAATTTATTAGTAAATAATATAATTACCAAAATTTAAATAGTTTGTTAAAGCCTTGAAAGCTAAAACGTGAAAGTAATATTTGGGGGAAAAACATCAAAGGATTAAGAGTCTAAATTTCATTAGACAATAATTTAACAAAAAGATTTCAAATTGCAAGTTGTATTTTGATTTTTAAATTTGCAAATTAAAAGTCTATAGTAACTAAATTAATATTAAATATAGGCAAAATAGTCTCGTGGCCACTTAAACTTGCGCCCAATTGCCAACCCAATACACAAACTTATACATTTCCCATTTGAACACTCTAACTCCGATATTTGTTAACTAATAAACCACTTTGATCGTTTATCGTGCCTATTTGGAGGCAACATAGATGACACGGCCAAATTGTGTACACATCAAGCTAAAAACGTGCGTGAGTGTAATACTTTGATGGAAAAAGTATTTTAAAAAATATAAATAATGAAAAGATAACAAAAAGAAAAAAGAAAAAATTAAAGCTTCCTCTGTTCCTCCCAGCCCACTTCGTCCTCCTTACCCATCCCCATTTCTTTAGTTTCATATCCCATCCCCCAGTGATCCAATTCCATCTCATCCCCATCCCCTTTCCATTATTAATTTTTACTTGAAAATGATTAATCTTATTCTATTGAGTACAAGAATGCAGAAGAAGAAAGATAGAAAAAGTTATCCACACAACTCGATGTCGGCAAAAGAAAATCTCTGATGATGGTGCTGAAGAAATTTTTCTGATCATTGCTCCTTTTTTTTTTCTTTCTTTAAATTTTGTGGCAAGGGATATTGAATTGTATTATTTTTTATTTGCTTGGTCTGGGCTTGGTGGGACGGAGGTTTTAACGGAGATGGTAATTAGGGGTTTTGGGCGAAAATGGTGGCTGAAAATTCAGAGACATTTACTAGTGGCTTCTCCGGCCAACTCGAGTTTTTTGGTGGTNAGTAATAAATAGTCTAACATATGATGTGTTGACATGTCACCGCAATTGATATACACGTGTTGTTAGATGTGTTTCTTAGTACTCATTCTGTCAAGTTGAAGTATTCAAATGGAAAATGTATAAGTTTGTGTATCGAGTTGGCAATTGAGCGCAAGTTTAAGTGGCCACGAGGCCATTTTGCCTTAAATATAAGTGTACATTTAAAGGTTTTGCATTGTCTTTTGTAGTTCTTCCATGTCAATATGAACTACTTGGCCTACTTTTGGGGTGTCTAATTCAAATGATCAATCAATTGTCAATATATTTAAATTTTTTGGTATTCCGTTTTATCTACATTTTCACGACCTTGATTCAATTGCTACGATCTAATCCAATCACTAAAACACACCAGCACCTCCAAGGCATTGCTACCCAATGAGTGATATATGTCTCATATCTATTGCCTTATTTGGTTAAATGCGTTTTCTGATGAAATAATTGAAATTGGCACATTTAGCACGTCTCGAGCCATTGCGAAAAGAATGGAAAATAACTTTGCATTATCCTTCTATCATGTCCATAACAAAATATCCTTTGTGCGATGCAATATCTGCTTTTGCAAGTAAAATTGAAGTTCATCACTATTCATGCTATTGTGTTGTGTAAAAAAAATAATGTAGACCAAATAGCAAAAACATCTACACCATCATTTTCATCGATAGAAACTGAAGTAGAAACAAAACTAGAAGGAAGGTTCGAATTAATATTTATTACAACAAAAGAAGCATCAATCAGGTTTGCGTAATAATTGTATAATTGCTTCAAATGCTCATTTAGGTCTCTCATACAAGTATGAATGTACGAGATTTCAGTTGGTCCAATTTCCGTATAGGTATACAAAATATTGATTAATTGGTGTCAAATAAAGATCTTGATAGAAAATTTTAAAACATCACCAATTAAATAAATAATGTAAAAATAGTTTTTGAAATTTTCTTGCATTTTTTCGGTGGCATCACTATATCTTTCTTTATTCTTGAATTCAGAAAATAAAAGAGAATCAGCTATATGCTCACCTTATTTGTCGTTTAAAAACAAATTAGTGTAGTTTAATGCATGTAATTAGAATGTTGGGAAGATTTAGATTATAACGTAAAAAAAAAAAGTAGTGGATTGCTAAATCATTCAAAGCAAGATATATAATAAAGAGATTCGAGCCCTGGAAATAGAGAACTTCTTATTAGGGAACGTTTTACACTCCTTAGTATGCTTACTTGAAGTGAATTTAAATTAGTCAGACCAATTAATTTTGAAATACTAGATGATTAAACAAAAAAAATACTTAAGACCTTGACAAATTAGGGTCATTCTTTACCGTCGTAGCATGTGACACTTTTTTGGTTACACGATTAGTATGGCCAATATTAACATCATAACATGTACGTAGTTTATATTATTTTGAAATCTTATAGAATTTTAGTAGACCGATGAATTATTATAAATATATGTTTATTTGGGACATTTTTACTGTAATTAGATGAAAAACATACTCGATGTTTGTGTCATTTTTTTCAATCATGTGAAGTTACATAAAATTAACAAAACGTGTACTCCTCCATTTAAATGTATAGAACTAGACATTTCTTACAACTTAGGACAATACATGAACTTTAAATATTTTATTTGGTACCTTGTGTAAGGATAATAATAGTCTGGACAGATTTATATTATGAAATTCTCATTCTTTCCCGAATTAAGATTTTAAACTCTACCCATTTGGTAAACAAAAATAGAAGAAGTGTTCAAGCAAACCAAAACTCAACTTCTTTTGGGAAGGGAACATTATAGGAATAATAAAGAGAAATGACATTGTATAGCCGCTCTTAAAATAATAGTCAAAAAATATATATTTTTTGTATATATATATAAATTATACAAATTTTATATACATTTTCGATTATTAAATATAAATAGTTTATTGTGCAGACTAATGAATATGACTTTAATGGTTTCATTTCATTGTACGAACTGGGCTCTTAAATCATCCATGTTTCTACTGTTGTCGTACGCGAAGACTTTAGAAAGATTTTATGTCATTATCAAAAAGACAGCTTTCTCTTGTACTAATAGTAAAATATTTTGGATTTAGTGCTTAAGAAAAATTAACACAAATTGTCTTCATCCCACCATTATAATATAGGTATAATTTATACTATATAATATATATTTAATCATATATAATCAGTATATATAAATTCTAGAAAAGTAAAGCGATAAATCGATTAATATAAAAATAAGGTTTATATGTTCTATAGAGAAAGATCCACGTACTCTCAATTCAAAGTCCATCAACACAGTATTTGTTGATTTTGGTCCCAACAAATACTCTTCATTTTTTCTTGTGCTTTTTTCCTAACTCATGCAGAACGCAGATCATCTTAATCTCGGTTATTAGTCTTAAGTTTTATATAGACAATGAATTTAACTTCTATATATTGATAGTGTAAAAAATTATTTGCACAATTTGATCAATTGTAAGATGTGGTAATGGAAGTGGCCGAGGAGGTAGTAAACTACTTACACAATAAGATCAATCTATATATTTTAATAAATAGAAATTAAATATTAAAATATATAATTACACTTGCGCAATCAAATATGACACTAAAAATTATATTGTAAATAAATTAGCGAAACAAACAGGTAATTATAATTACTTTATTTTTTAATTATTATGTTGTAAATACTAGCCTAGTAATTATACAATAATTTCCAAACATGCATATATTTCATGTTAAGATTACAACATTACACATTTATTGGCCAATATCCCAATTAGCAATTGCACTAAACTTGGTCAGAAGTAGTGCTGTGCATTATTTGGGTTAACCTGAATATCTGAACCCGTGTTATTTGGATTGGTTTGGATAGAATTTTAGCATTTTCGATCGGATTTTGAATCTTAATTTAATTATTTTGAATATCGAATCGGATACGATTTGACTCAATTTATATCCGAACCGATCAAAAACCTGAAATTTATATTTTACATATAACAGACAAGGGTGCCCTTGCAGAAATTTTAAGATTGCTTTGTTATCTCTCTCACTGTTTTTGCCCTTTCTTTCTTTTCAATATTAAATGTGAAACATATAGAAATCAATGAGTTTTACTATTAAAAATAATACGAGATATCATTTATTTTAGCATCTTGATAAGGCGTATAATTCGAACCAAAATCCAAAATATTTATCCGATCCAAACATCAAAATCCATCCAATCCGAATTTAATTTGGTTTAGATTCGGATTGCAATTTAAAAAATCCAAAATCCGAAACTATAATTCGAAACGTGCCAAATCCGATCCGACCCATGAACATACCCAGTGAGAAGTCCTTCCCCTTGCCTCTCACTCCAAACTAGGGTTACAAAACTGCTAGAGAATAATACTGTTTATCCTTAAAAATAGATAACAATTAAACTTATAATGTGGTTCTAAGGACACGTGATTTCACTTAATACCAATTGATAAATATGAAGATTAATAACATAAATGAACTATAAAGTAAAGCAAACTAGTGTTAGAATGAAACTCAGCCCTCGAGTTTGGATACCCTCGAACTGGTTGATATAAAAATAATTAAAATATAACAAGCTGATGAACAATAGTATAAACG